AAACAGTAATATTACTGTTTGGGACAGTAATATTATGAATATTATTTTTCCGAACAGTAATATTATTAATATTATTGTCTAAGACAGTTAAATTACTGTTGGAGACAGTAATTTAACATCCAAGACAGTAATATTAATTAAAATAAAAATTTTTTAAGGAAAAAAATTAAAAAAAAAAAAAAAGTCAATTAACAGTTAAATTACTGTCTCCGACAGTTAAATAACTGCTGGAGACAGTAATTTAGCAACGAATACAGTAATATAAATTAAAAATATTTTTTTTAAGAATAACAAAGTCAATTAACAGTTAAATTACTGTCTCCGACAGTTAAATAACTGCTGGAGACAGTAATTTAGCAACGAATACAGTAATATTAATTAAAAATATTTTTTTTTAAGAATAAAAAAGTCAATTAACAGTTAAATAACTGCTAGAGACAGTAATTTAGCAACGAATACAGTAATATTAGTTAAAAATATTTTTTTTAAGAATAAAAAAGTTAATTAACAGTTAAATTACTGTCTCCGACAGTTAAATAACTGCTAGAGACAGTAATTTAGCAACGAATACAGTAATATTAATTAAAAATATTTTTTTTAAGAATAAAAAAGTCAATTAACAGTTAAATTACTCTCTCCGACAGTTAAATAACTGCTGGAGACAGTAATTTAGCAACGAATACAGTAATATTAATTAAAAATATTTTTTTTAAGAATAAAAAAGTCAATTAACAGTTAAATTACTGTCTCCGACAGTTAAATAACTACTGGAGACAGTAATTTAGCAACGAATACAGTAATATTAATTAAAAATATTTTTTTTAAGAATAAAAAAGTCAATTAACAGTTAAATTACTGTCTCCGACAGTTAAATAACTGCTGGAGACAGTAATTTAGCAACGAATACAATAATATTAATTAAAATATTTTTGAAGAAAAAAAAAAAAAAAACAGTCAATTAACAGTTAAATTACTGTCTCCGACAGTTAAATAGCTGCCGGAGACAGTAATTTATGCAGCG